ACCATCCTTGTGTATGCCTCAGATCCTAAAGAGAAATCGAACGAATCTGATCTGCGATTCTTTTAATACAACTGTCGTAACTGTGAAAATTAACACGTTTTTTTTTTACCGTTGATCTTATGCCTTGTATAGGATGTATTTGATGAATGAGTTCTCTTTCGACTCTATTAAAATCACTACCCGCCATTGGTTTCTCTGTACAAGTCCTTGGTGCAACATTACTTACATCCTCCAAGTCCGGCGATGCAAGCCCATGTGCTAATTCAAAAAGAACATGTACTTGTCGAGGACTCAGGAACGAAGTAAAAGATCCCAATGTAACCTCTAACTCTACCTAGAATAATTAAAACTTTTGTTTTAATATCAAAGATAGCAAATTTAATTAGTTCTTTCTTTACCTTTGGTCCCAAAACGCCTTCACCTTGCTTTATCTTTAATCTGAACTCTTGTCTACCCGCGAATTTGGCAAATAATATAGGATGTGATTCACTTAAATTATTAATTATATTTCTGTCAGGATAATTTTGCATACTTTGAGTGGGTGATATTTGTGCGGAAGAAAATTGGCCATCTGAATTCTATAAAAAAAGGAAAGAAAGAAAAAGCATATGATAGAAGTGAAGAATATCCATATTATATAAATTCTGCAAAGTTATATACAAGTACTTTTGAATCTGGTGTAGACCCCCTGCTCATAGTCATAATACTTCTCGAAAATGTCCTTGCTCTAGATGGAAATTCATCCGTATGGAGGGTTACTCCTTCCAAGTAAAACCGTTTTGTTGTGAAGGCTGAAACGACGTAACCTTTTCCCGACTGATTTGGATCTATAGAAGTATGACTTGGATCCAAACCAGCTTCATCAGAGTATTCAAGATACTTTATACACATTTCCATTGCTACACCCATCGAAGAATCTAATGGTACATGTTCTAACCTTATGACTGTGTCTATAAATCTTACTTTTACTCTACATAAAACTGAAACAAATTAATTTTAATAGGTATATTTTCTTTTTATATAAGTATACACACACGCACGTGTAACTACACGTGCATGGACTTTTTCTTTTTACATCAAAAAAAATCTCACTTGAATCTATTGTCTGTGCAAACAATTCTACTCCTTCTAAAGGTTGTGTATTTCCAGCGCTGTTAGCATCTTGTTGCAAACATTCTTGTGCAAGTTGCATACTGGACGTCATCGAACTCCACATAGATTCAAACATCGAAGTTCCTGTTTCAGCCCTTTGCCTTGGTTGGACTGTTAATCTGAGACTGATGACTTCCACGTAACTTGCTTCGCTGAGCAAAGCAGACCATGGTATACTAACGGACATTTCCGTTATGAAACCATCAACAAATTCCAAAGGAAGATTTTGTTGTTCACCCATTTCATTAAGAGCCTATCATCAAAGTTATATTTTATTTTTCTTTTTTTTTCTTTTTTTTTTTTTTTTTTAAGAATTGTTATTCGTTTCAATTGAATACGCGCGCGTTCACATGCATATGCAATTAGGAGTACGATTAAATTATACATTTTAAAGGTATATAATCACTTAAAACAACTCTGCCTGAGAAGAAAGACAAAAGAAATTGCAAATTGACTATATATGTCATATAAGTCATAAAGTGATGTAAATTAACAAATTTATTATGTATATATTTATTATATAGATATGTTTAAATAAAAGTATTCACTTTTATCGTTGACATTGAAAATGAATCATTTGGGGAAAAAAGACAACGGACTTATCTTTGATGCCAATGAAAATACCTGATAAGGATTTGAAACAAAGAAAATGCTACTACCTGCACGTCAAGGCTAACATTGGTAACACGACCAGTTCCATTGTAAAGATCCACTGTAAGCTGATCTAATGTCAATTTTTCTTCCAAAAACTGACCGAGATATCGTTGAAGTAGATATCTGCAGGCCCTCTTTTTGATTCCTTCCGACCACGGTAAACATCCCAGCCAAGACATTTTATTTCCTACAACGAAACGATCTACTCTAAGAAAGGCATGTGTAATTTTTTTAAAAATTCGCTCCGTCGTGTTTCTATGTCTGACGATTATTATTCAGCTGGCATGGTCATGGACAAACAAATTAACCAAACAGATTTCATTTCCCCTACACGTGTTGTATCTATCGAAAAAATTCTCGACATAATACTCGAGAAGCGACACAATCGACAACTCAGTTTTTTCTTAACGTCGCTTTAGCTCGCCAATGTTTTCCCCTTCACAAGTTAACACGTATATATATATTTATCACGCACACAATATCTGAACGTCAATCCAACACTACTTCTTCATCGATTGAAATCAGCTGACTCTACAGCATGTCCGTATTATACCCCCGCCCATTTTATTACGAATTCGTCACTACTAATCGCTACCAACTTACTTTTCAACGATCTTCGATTATAACTACGACCCAGCTTCAATCGATTTCTTTTCAATATTTCTCCGATATATCTTTATTAAATATGATCGACCTTATCTTTACGAAAGAAAAAAAGAAAAATAAATAAATAAATAAATAAAAAGTGTCATGAATATTTCCCAATTATTTCTCTACTACGTAACTTGAAAAAGGAAAATGAAAAAGGGAAAAAAAAGAAGAAGAAGAAGAAGAAGAAAGTAAAATGTAAGAACATTCTGATTAGTTCTAATCGGAAAAGATTTTTTTTTTTTTTTTTTTTTTTTTTTTTTTTTTTAATTTTTTCGTTAAAGCCGATTCATTCAAAGCGCACTCATAAATCCTCGATCCCTCTCAATGACCTTTAAATGGCACAACAATTGTGACATGGAAATGAAATGATTCTATACATATAAAGTCTATGCAAATGTAAGCAATTATGCGTTATCGCAAAAATGATTCGCGCCTTTAATACTACGTAGCAGTCGATTTGAATTTATATAAATAATTAATTAAATAATATATTTCGATTTACGATATTTGTCGTACGTCAATCCGTATCGTATGTGAACATTCCTACATGGATATATTACATCCTTCAATTATTTCGTCCTTACAATAAACCTTTTGTTACCGTTATAAATAAAATTAAGAAACTAGAGATAATATATAAAATTACAATGTTGGTAGCACTTACGTGGTTATAAAGATGATGGTAGAAGTTGAACGCATTTTCTAAATACACGTCCGTCAATGTTTTTAGTGACAATATTAGTGGCAATCATTGACTCTCGTTTAACGAAAATCATTGATGTTATTGGCATAATTTTTCATTAACAGAAGAACTACGATTTAATAATATTCGTGAAAAACAAGCTGTTCCTTGTTGTCATTAATTATGGCTCTAACAAATATTTTGCTTCTCAGTCAAATAGCTGGATATGTTGTGGCGCTTATTTTATCTCTTTGTATTATCGTACCCATGAGTTTACATCAAGATGAATTTAGGTAAATATACTATTTACAATAATTCTGTTGAGTGAATAATCCCAATTATATCAGTGAAGAAATGTCAATACCAAAGAAAAAAAGTTATCAATACTTGAGGATATTTTGTTTTACTTTGGACTTTATTTTTAGGGGACACTGTTTACTATTTTCAACGGGAACTTGGCAAGAAACCGATGGACAGTTTGTAGTAAATTGGGCCTCACAAATTTCTTGCAATTACACTATATTCGTTGGACTTGTATTATTTTTAATGGCAGCTTTCCAGATTTATAGGCTTTCTGTTTTAATGTATCGTGGCGAAGACAGCTCTTTTCTTTCAGCATTTGCAGATGTTGTCAATTGCATTTTTCTCACGATAATAACATTGATTGCTGCTATTATCGTAACATTAGGTTTTATGACTTGGTGTCAGTGTATGACAAAAAGGTTTCCTTCGTGCGAATTAGCTGCTGGAAATGATATTGATAAAGCCGACAATATCGATACCTCGGGCTTTCACATTGAATTGGGTGCAGCGCAATTTGGAACGTGGAGTAGTTTGTCCATTTGGGTTGGTTTATCGGTTTTTGCTGTGTTAAAGTTGCTGCGTTATCATCAAATAGAAAATATGAAAGTATCTATGTATAGAGAAAGGCAAAAATTAATTGAAGCAACTGGAAATAGCCAACAGCAAGAATCCAGTTAATCTTTCTTGTAACAATTAATATTTAAAAAAGTTATAATACTATTTCATAGAAATTCTATAGTCCGTGTGGCTTCCTTGCATCTAGTATTGCTGAAAAATTGTGAATGTACATATATATATATATATATATATATATATATATATATATATATATATATGTGTATGTATATAAATCTATGATTATTAAGAACACAATACTTTCTTCTAAAATATTAGGATTATTTACAAAAACAAATAATTATTTCTAATACTTAAGACATTCAGCGTTTCATTAATTTTATTACTGATATTGATTATATTTAGAATACGTAAAAATTAATACATATCAGGTTTGTATATTAATGATTAAACATTTGTTCAAAAAATTATCTTAATTTTATCAAAATTTTCATATTTTTTGAATAATAAGCAAGTGTATTAATTTCACTTAAAAAAATGATTAAATATAATTTACATGTATATAAGTAATATAGCTTCATTGAAATATAAATATAATTTATCTATTTATTTTATTACATCCTAAAAGTGCATAAAATAAATTAATTAATACTTGAAAAAAATATATATTTTCAATTTTAATATAATTAATTATAAAACTTTGTATGAGTATAATTTCTTTGTACCATAACTTCAAAGATGAAAGGTATTGTAAATTGTATTAATATATACTAGAATTATATATATACTGACATTTATTCACAATTATGTACTATATCAACATATATATATATATATATATATATATATATATATATATATATATACACGCACACGCACACGCACACGCACGCGCACATTTTTCATGACATATTTAATATTTATTTAAAGTAGTATAAACAATGATGAAAATCCATGAAATATAATAATCATTTGTAAAAAATCTTTTTACCTTTAAAATTTAATTTGTTAGTATACTATACTTTGATTCGTGATGTAACTATATGCACTGGATAAAAAGAGAGAGTTTTCATATTCTGGCCATGATACGAACTCTTTATAAAGATCTAAAAATTCAACGGGTGTTAAATCTACAAAACGGGTAAATATATTATAGTTCTTTTGTATTAATCTTATTCCACATCCTGGTATCCATTTTCTAAAATATAACAAAAGGATTATATGGCTAGAAATAATAAAATAATATTTAACTAAAATTTTCTCTTTATTTCTGAATGTTATACTCACTCCAATTCAGGTATTACCCTTTGTTCCTTTGATTTAAGATGGTATCTTACAAAATACCAATAAGATATTATTTGGCTTGGTTTAATGGTATTTTTAAAAACATCTGCTTTTGGCTCTATTTTCACAACTTTTAAGATCTTATTATCGTCAACTAATTTGTTTTGTTTTAATGATTTTTTTGGCCATGGTATATAAAATAATCTTTCTATATCACCAAAATATTTACAATCAAATAACGTTTGATAGATAATATAAAGAAAATAAAAGACGGCTTTACTTTGAGGTTTACTTATTGTCTAAAATATAAAAAGAATATATCAATTATTAGATAATTATTAGATCTTACATATTGAATACTTTAATAATCTGGTATAATTACATTCCATAACGAGGGTGCTACTGCCAGATAAAAAGATGTTCTTCCTTGTATCATAAAGCTAGTACGAAATACCACGGACCATATTAGATGTTTCAAGAACTTATGATCTATTATTGCTCCTATTACTTGCATACATGATTCATTTTCCCAATGTATATGTGGGACATCTTTTAATACTACATTTATTCTTTCCTTATTATCCTGTTGATCCATGAAATATAGTTTGCTCATTTTTAATATATTTGCCTTTCTTATTTCAATTCTATTAGGATATTTCTTTTGTAATTTATGTAATAGAGGATAAAAACATTCGTTTGGTTCATATGTCCGTATAATTCTAACACCAGCTTCTAATAACTCTTTTGTTAATACACCTGCTCCAGGGTTAGCTTCAGCTACAAAAGTCATATTTTTTGAAAGATCATCGATTATCAAATCGACAAAATTTTTAGCGCCATTCTCTGAGATTAAATAAGATACATTCGATATATTCTTAGTATAACCCAGATAACTTTTTGGGCAAACTTTAATATATTGTGGATTTACAAGGCTTATATATTTTTTTATATTCAAATCTTTATATTCACTTTTCATAGTTCTCATCAATTTCATTGATGCTGTTTTCTTATTATCTATTTTTACCTCATTATCATTTGTTTTAAGATCTACTTCTTCGGTCGTTTCTTGACTGATACTTCGTGGACGTAAGAAACTCATGCTTAAGCAAAATTTTCTATGCGTCAAAAACAAGGTAAAATAACGTGATTTATCCCTTTCTATATGCTTAATTGATAAACTCATAAAATTAACGTTCATTGTGATACTTTTTTCTTATTCTACGTTTCAGTACTAGCAAATTTAAGTGAACTTATTGTATTATACGACGACTATACGATCTCATGTTAAAAAAAATGATTAGCAAGATTTTCATAAATATCATTTAATATAAATCCTATAAAACCATTATGATCAGTTATATGTAATGAAATGATATAATTATTTAACAGATATAATTTAAATTTCATTTTTATGTTTACTTAAATTTTATAAAAACGTATTAATTATGATATATATATATCATGTATATATATATATATATATATATATATATATTATGACAAATACAAATTTTTATTAAATTAAGTTCTTTTTGCTTTGTTTTTCTAAAAAGAACAAAAAGTAATCACATTCAACAAATTGTCTATGTTGTTAAATGGCAATAGATGTTCAATAGTATTTTCTTCGACTATGGAAATCATTGATATTCTCTTACTCATAGATAATCATACAAAAATTAAAAGATGACAATACCAAACGACAATCGTTACAACTTGGTTAAGGATTTCTATTCGTGGAACGAATATTCTTCGTAAACGAATTATGGCTGTTCACTGGCTTTTGTTCAAAGCGTGTGTGACTTCAGCGACAGGTATGGACAAAATATGAACTACGAATGCCATGTTTGCATATCGGTGTACAAGCTTGTGTGTAATATTTCCCTCTCATGCGTACATAACAATTGGTTTCGATGTGTAAGAAGTAGATAGTAGTAAATAGTAGACTGTAAAGTATATTTCTTTTTTAATGGTAGCGCGCGTCTCACAATGATCCATATTTATTAGATAGTATGTCGTTACTATCATATGATAATTAGTATATAAATTTGCGAATGTAAAGAAATTATCTTTGAATTTAACTATATCTTATCTATTTGCCTGTTGAAGTATTATTGGCAATGTAAAGTGTTAATAACTTTAGTGTTTGATTAGATTGAAAGGATTTTGAAAATATTATAGAAAATAAATTCTACTTGCGTTGCGTGTTTTACAATTAGATTTCAATATATTGCAAGTACTATCTCGCTACGTAAGATTATCCTATAAGTTAAAAAGTCCAATAAATAAATAATCTATCTATAGGATATTGATAAACTTTTAAACATGACACAATTTTCGAAATATATCGACTAGGTAGCGCGTCGATCAGCGTAGATTTTCGAGCTCTAAAAAATTATTTACTGATCTACGAATGCGCAGACGCATCGTAAACACATGATCTCTTATAAAATGTCATTTGTTGTTGCTTTGAGTTTAATCTCTTTTTGATAATAGATTCTATATAAATTTATATAATAGAGAAAGTACAAGAAAATTCGAGAATAAAAAAGTATTATCCTCAATCTGTGAAAGAATTTTCAATAATTGTTCAAGTTCATTTCTTTACCTATAAAAAAGATAAACTTTAAGTGTAAAAATAATGGCAGAGGAAAAAGTAGAAAGGTAATTTTATTTATAATTGAACATTATAAATCTATATATCCACGTTAATTATTATAATTGCTAGTTTCGTTGAATTAGTTAAATTTATTATATCTTTTATTTTCACAGGTTAAGGTATAATATCAACTTTATTTTTCCCGCCAAATGATATTTATTCTATATTTAAAATGCAAATATAAATATTTATTGCTTAATAATTAAATTATATTTTACAGCGATAAGATAGAAAATGCACAAGCTGTTTCCATAGAAGAAAAAATGAAAGTAAAACCTGATGACAAGAATAGACAAAAGTCCAAACAAACAGATCAAAATGATAAACTTAACAATCGTAGTAATAATAATGAATCAGGAAATTGTTATTGGTAATCTAGATGCAATACAAGTTAAAGTACAATAAATATTATGATAAAATGTCTACTATGTATATTAATATTTTCTTTTTTTTCTTTATAGTGGAAAAGAAAGAAATCTGAACATAGCAGAATTGTTATGTGCTAGTTGTTCAAGGTGGTTTCACGAATCTTGTATTGGATATCAGTTAGGCAAGTTAGTGCCTTTCATGATGAACTACATATTTATGTGTAAAAATTGTTCACCGACTGGATTAGAAAGTTTTAAAAAAAATCAAGCTCGTAAGTGTATATATATATGTATATATATATATATATATGATTACAAAATGAATTATTAATAATAATAATGATAAAAAGAAATGATATCTTTTGGAAGAAAGAAAGATTTCGCTTAAGATAGGCAATAAATTTTGAATTAAATGTCATGTTTTTTCTTAAAGCTTTTCCGCAAATGTGTGTTACTGCAATAGCTAATTTATTACAAATTTGCCAAAAAGAAAGTGAACAAAGAACATTATTTCATAAGGATAAAGATATAATACCTTTTATCGAATGTCATTGGGAAAGCATGACAACAATGCCTCGCAGAGTTACACAGTCTTGGCATGCTACAGTAAGTTATTTTATCAAATTAAACTTTTTCATTTAATAACTTGTCTTTCTGAGATTTGATTATTATTATTTTATTTCTTCTATTATATTTTCGTACGGTATTACATAAAAGTTGAGTTCCTTTTTTATTGTAATAATAATAAATTGTTTTATTTCTACATAGAACAATAATGAATAAAACATTTTTGATTGTACGTATCATTTAAATTTTTTTACGTCCTTTCATTTTGGATTTGTAAAATTCTTTATGTATTATTGGAAATAAAACTTACAATTACCCCTATTGTTAGATTTAATTGATAAAAAAGAAAAAAAAAAGTTAATTAACACTTTGCATATTCCATAGGTATAAGATCTAATATTTCGATCTGAAGTACTGAATTGTAATTTCAGATACACAGAGCATTATTGAAAGATGTTGGTACATTATTTACTATGGATGAAAATAATGCAGAAGGCCAGTTGTTTGGACTTGCAAGTCCAGATCTTGTATTAATTAAACCTAATTATGAAGCAATGATCAAGGGAGGCCATTTGAAAGTTACAGAAATGGGTGTGCAACATGTTGGTAAGCGTATTATCATATTATCCATCCTATAATACATTTCTTTAATATTAAAAGTACAAAAGAACTGACTATATTCTTTATCATATAAATAATATAATAATAATGAAACCTTTGCTCTGTCTTCATTTTTTAAGTGAGATACATTGCTAAACCTGATTATTAGTATACGTATATACGTATATCTTATCTTATCAAGGAAATCACTACTACAATATCACATAACAAGCTATTAATAAGAGTAATGTGCAGATCAAATAGTCTAATACTCACAATAAATTTATTTAAATTATTTGACTTTTTGAAAAAAAATATCGTTTCTTTTAAAAAAGATTTTAATTATTGCATGTATACTAAAACAAACATATTAAATCAATAATTTAACAGTTTAAGGATAATACCAAAGAAACTTTTATTATATGACACAATGATCTAGAATATATTAATACTGTAACACATTCATCTTAATAATTCTTTCTATTATCATGGAATATCAAGTGCCATTAAGCGGAGGACTTCGTGGTCGTAATGCAAAACGCAAACTTCCTGGAGAAGGGGCAGGTACTGGTCCTGGAAAAAAAGGAAGAAGTTCAGATATGACAGCACCTAAATTGCCTGCACATGGTTATCCACTTGAGCATCCTTTTAACAAAGATGGATACAGATATATACTTGCAGAACCAGATCCTCATGCACCTTTCAGACAAGTAGATAAAATCTATCTTGTTTAAAAATTCTTGAAGAAGAATGGGTGAGTAAATGCGAATACGTATAATAATCATCACTATCATTCAATGTTATAGGAGTTTGATGAAAGTAGTGATTGGGCAGGAAAACCTATTCCCGGTTGGTTATATAGGCCTCTAAGTCCAAGTGCAGTATTACTTGCTTTACATGATCGTGCCCCACAATTAAGAGTTTCAGAAGACAGATTAGCAGTCACCGGTGAAAAAGGATATTGCATGGTCAGAGCCACACATAGTATGTGTCAAATATTTGTTATAAATTAAAGATTTTCTTGAATGTTTTGTGATTTTACGATAACGACATTACGAGCAGACATTATGAAATTTTAAATAAAACTTTAGCAATTTAGTAAAAATGTATAATTATTATAAATACATGATGTTTTTAATGTAAGTCTAATTTAGGTGTAAGTAAAGGGACTTGGTACTGGGAAGCTACTATCGAAGAAATGCCTGAAGGATCTGCTACTAGGCTTGGTTGGGCACAAGAATATGCGAATCTACAAGCACCATTAGGCTATGACAAATTTGGATACTCTTGGAGGTCTAGGTACGTATAAAAGAGTTTCTTCGTTTAAATAAAATATTCTATAATATATGAAGAAAATGTACATTGGAAAACATGATTGTACATTTTTATTATTTTCTTTCTTTTTTTCCATAATAAAATTTGTTTTTAATTCTATCTTACAGGAAAGGTACACGATTTCATGAAAGTAGAGGAAAACATTATAGCAATGGTTATGGGGAAGGAGATACATTAGGATTTCTTATATCTTTACCTGATACATATGATGCGTCACATATTCCAAATACATATAAAGATAGGGTAAATAATAGATTAATTAATTAATTTTAAATTAATACATTTCACGTACGTTTCAAATAATCACAGATATCTGTAATTTAGCCTTTAGTAAAATTCAAGAGTCACCTTTATTACGAGGAGAAGGATCAAGTACCGGAAGCATTAAAAGCTTTAAAATCTCTACCAGGGAGTAAAATCGTATATTATAGAAATGGTATCAATCAAGGTGAAGCTTTTATAGATATCAATAGAGGAGCATATTTTCCTACTGTCTCAATACATAAAAGTGCAACTGTTTCTGTAAATTTTGGACCCAATTTTAAGTGTCCTCCTACCGATACTGCTTTCCGAGGTGTAAGTATTATTACAATAAATACGCCGATGTTTACAATATTTAAATTATATTACCAATTGTAATAAGCATGTGTGCGTGTGTGCGTGTATATGCACTTTACAGATGCATGATAAAGCAGAAGAAGCAATTGCAGAACAGTCTATGGCAGATATACTCTACCTAACTGAGAATGAAGGAAGATTAAGATTAGACACGTTTTCCTTGTGACATTAATAAAATATTTTAATTTTTAATTATCTGTTTTTAAACAATTAAATTATTTTATTAAATTTTATTCAGTATATTTCAACGTTCATATCAATATTTATATACAATCTTTATTATGTACTGATACATATCATTTTCCGAAACCTCCTCTACATGCAGGGCTGGGCGTAAATGTTTTATTACTTTTTTCCCATTGTTCAGGTGTCTTTGCCTTTTATAAAAATATTTTAATATTATTTACATGAAATCAATCATTGCTCAACATTTAAAAATATATATATATATATTAATAATGAAAACTTACTACGATGGAAAGTGCGTGTATGTCATGTAATTCAACTTTTAATAAATCGTGTACCATACGATGACGCTAAATAGGAGGAGAAATGTATTGTAATATTACTATTAATTTATAATAAAGAAGATTGATTGAATGATATAAGAATTACTCTTAACACATTACCATCCAGATTTATATTATTGTTTTTGACATTTTATAACCAGTCAACAAAAGAAATCATATTTTTATGTCTTTGAATGGTAATGTGTTAATAAATTTACTTTAGATCAATACATTTTATCAACATAAGTATATTATTTTGATTGTAATATATAATGTAGTATTCTTACCATAATCAGTGGTTTATCATTGAACTGTTCAGAAACAACTACTACTTTAAAATGCGTTTCTGATCCCTTAGGTACATTGTGCATATAAGATTCATTGATAACATCAATGAAATACGGATCGAATGATTCTTTTAGTTTCTTTCTTATCGATGATTCTATAGGTTTCGTTTGTGTCATATTATTCATCTTTTGCAATAATACGTTTTTAAATATACTATCTAGAATCCAAAATATCTAATAAACATTTGATATTTTTTTTCCTTATATAGACGTTTATAATCTACGTAAATTATTTTACTCAGGACTTTTGAAAATAATTATGGTATAATGACCGACTCACTTCGACTAATTGTAAAATTGCAAATTTTTATATTCATTTGTGTAATGTGACGTTGTATCACAACGGATTTAAATAATTACAGAGTGTAGTGTAACAAACGCGAACTTAGGTCGAATTGTAATTCTTTTTTCACAGAATTGTGACACATAAAATTCGATATAAAACACATACACATCAGTGGTGCCCTCTGAAAAGTCACTATTGAGAAACGCATACTGACGACGAATCAATCTAAAAAAAAAAAAGATCAGCGACCATTTTGAGATTTGAAATTTCAAACATTTCAAATACTTGATCTACTTCTTCATCGTTCAACATCCTCTTCCGACGGAATATTTGCTAACCTGATCAACTGAAACAGCAAAATATCATATTAAATTGTTAATTCAACTTTCAACTAATAGGTTTTATAAACTAAATATAGCTTTTAGAAAGTAATCAGAAAAATGTTGCTGAAAGAGGAGCCATTTAAAACAGTTTAAAAATCGTCAATTGGCCAATATTATTAATTCCTTATTATAATTTGAAAGATCTAATAAACCACATCGATAAAAGAAAATATATATTTATATTATTATATCGTTTCATTTAAAATCGATTTAAAAACAAATGGACATAATTTTCTTTTATACCATCCTGACATATAACCGATGTGGATATGAGAATGCGCTCGTACGTAGAAGAGAAATAGTAGAAATGTTTATAAACAATAAAAGACAGGATCTTTCATAATATAAACATTTTTCTTATTCAAACGTATGTTCTTACATTTACACAGTACAAAAAATTATACTCAGACCTGCCGGCCCGCGGTTCATAACTTGCTATGACTGAGGGGCGGCCGGTGGTGGGGTGGTACGGGACTCTGGGGGTGGATTACTTTTAGGATATTTTTTCTTCTTCTTTTTTCCTTTTTTTTCTTTTTTTTTTTTCTTTTTTTAGAGCTGTACATGTAAATTCATCCATTCCATTCCGCCCCCAAACACGGCCCCTTGTGTTTTACTCTCGTGCTTTCTCTGGCTTAAATTTTCGCTCATGATCATACACACACATACACGGGAAACACACGCGCACATACGTATCCCCTAAGGTTCGCGCACTCGCGACACATACAAGTTTTCGACTTTTATTTTTTCATCTTAATGTATATTCTACTCTCTCTCGCTCTCTCTCTCTCTCTCTCTCTTTCTCTCTCTCTCGGTCGCTCTTTTTCTCTCATAACCGTGCTCCGCCGCGATATATTTAGCAACATTTAGATATCGTATTCTTCGTTAATAATATTTAATCGTAGTAATGGTAATAATTATAATAATAAATGGTATAATGGACTATCTACCTATACGCACGTAGTGTAATTTTTTTTCGTGTTTCGTGGAGTGTGTATCCTCTTAATCCTAAAATTTTCATTCGTATTTATATATGTATATGTATACATATATGCATGTATAAATGTATATTTACACGTAGCAAGAGAACAAATAATAATAATATTAATAATAATATTAATAATAATATTAATAATAATAATAATAATAATAATAATAATAATAATAATAATAATAATAATAATAATATTAATAGTAATCATAATAGTAATAATAATTAATTATAATAATAATAAAAATAATAACTTTGCCTGCAGCAATAATACACAGAGTACGTCTTTTGTTACTTTATACAATGTTCCTTCGAAGGGTCAATAAAAGGGTAATTTGTTGTTGTTGTTTGATACTTATCATCTCCATAAGATTAACGCACTTAGTAATACTACGATATTTAAGATTTATTCATTAAATATTATTTTATCGAGTCGTTGTATGCTAGACAAATGTTGAGATCAAAGAAATTGCGGATTTCAGGATTTCACTGGTTATCTTTCTCTTTCTATCTCTCTCTCTCTTCGTTTTTTCTTTTTTTAACCTTTCTTCATTATTTTTATTCACTTTTACTTATTCCAACGTACCGTCCTTGACATTTTTCGATCGATAAAAGCGCAAGTTAGCGGAGTACGATCTAAAAAAAAAAAAAAAGAAAAAAAAAAAACCAAGAAATTGTCTCTTTTGCCAGAAATACGTAACGTTTTCTCTTTCTTCTTATATCTTCTTCTTTTTTTTTTTACTTTTTTTATTACTTTTTTTATTACTTTTTTTTTTATTTATTTATTTTTTTTTTTTTTTTAATAAATCGCGACGCGGAAAAATTTTTTGTTTGTCTGTCGCACGTTTCAAAAACATCTATAAATATACAATAGCGCCTTCTTTTTTCGAGAAATTCAAGATGGAGTCGGTTATTATACGCTCGCATTACGATTAGACGGAAAGAATTGTTCAAGTACGTAACACTGTAAATAGCGCGATGTGTGATTTGTTTGACGCAAATTGTTTCAGTGATAGGAACTCGGCCCTGTCATCTGGTGCGCGCGATTCTTTTTGCTTAACTAACCATTTGTTATTTTACTTTTATTTTCTTTTTTTTTTGTTTCTTCTTTTTCTATCCTCCTCCTCCTTCTCTTCCTACTCCTCTTGTTTGCTACCTACGCATACGAGATATACAACGCGTACACATTTATTATTTGATGTCTCCACATCATCGTTCACATTGGCACTTTGAAACTTATTACATTGTTTTTCTCTCTTCATTCTTCATTCTTTTCTTGTATATTCCTTTTTTCTTTCCCTTTAAATAATGTTATCGTAGTTTATTTTTTTTATCGTTAGCATTATTACGATATCAATTTACATTATCCTTTGTTTGTTTTTGTTTTCCATTCATCGGATAAAAGACGGCTCGAGTACTTTGATAAAAATAACAGTTTCGATTCATTTCTTCTTTGTATTTTTTCTTTTTCTTCTTCATTTTGTTTTATCTTTCCCTTTGTTGGCTATAGTGATCAAAAGTCAAAAAACATGACTTAATGAATTTGCAAAAACTGCATGTGTGATGTTACATACATGTGTAATTGTTCCAATCCAATAGAGATTATCATTCCTACATATTTCTATCATTTTTTACTCTTGTCCGTCGTTTATTATTACCTTTTTCTTTTCTGATATTCGAATAAGCGAATAATAATTGTCAAAAGTTTGTATTTTCCTCGAATCGGCATACTTTCACGTTAAAGTAAGGTATATATTAGTCGACACAAGTTGTGAAAACAGGTACAAACAACGATGTAACGTCGGCCGCACAATAAACACACAGATGTACGCAATCTGTTGATCGATAGTACACATGCATTAAAGTGAATCAATTAGGCAGTATTTTATTATCATGTTCCCGTCATATATATATATACACATAATATGTATATATATATATATACTTTTTTTTTTATATATATGGAGCACAATATAAAGAAGCGAGAAAATATGATCAAATGAACTCGTTGAGCCAAGATCGTTATTATTCACTACCGAAAGCACCGAATTATGATGGGAGCACACGATAATGAAACTCAAGAGTAATCTCACCGAGCCAGCTAACAATTTAATCGACAAACTAATTGCACAAAGGTATGTATAATCATCATCATCATCATCATCATCATCATCATCAGCAGCAGCAGCAGCAGCAGCAGCAGCAGCAGCATCAGCATCATCATCAGCAGCAGCAGCATCATCTCTAAAGTCTAGACAAAATCTCTCACAGATTCTAGTTAGGATCTTATTATACGATAACCGATTATCTACATTTATATATGACATAGACAGTGTGTATTGAATACAGGCACGATATAATTAATTACAAATAATGTATGATCCAAAGTCCTGTTGGTATCACAATCGTAAAGTGGACACGGGCATTAGTCTTGACCGATCCATATAAAATTCAATGAAAAACTCACGGACTTCATGTCCATCGATAGCGTTTTTCGGGTAGGAGAGAAGGAGACGGGTAATAGGGATTAAAAAAAAAAAAAAAAAAAAAAAAAGAAAAAAAAAAAAGAATAATAATAAAAAATAAGGAAAAAATAAGAAAGATAAACAAGAAAAAGGAAACGGAAGTCAAACGAAATAACGAATAACCTCGATTGGCTCAGCCAATGTTATGTAGAAAATTAAACGCGAGTTTACTCGTCAAATATCACAACAAATTCTTACACCACCACGCGATGTCTGTCTCTCTTCGGAGTGCATTATTCTCGACAATCTTTCTCTCTCTCTCTCTCTCTCTCTCTCTCTCTCTCTCTCTCTCACTCTTTTTCTAAAATGTGCCTCGCACTTTTAAAAATTTTCTCTCTCTCTCTCTCTCATTCTCTATGAAAAGCTTCTAGAACTCGAAGCAAATAGAACTTTCTCGCGACAAGACGCGAAGGACTTATATTCAAGACAATGATTCTTGGATCTTACGATCACGGTGAGGGGCCTATGGCTACGTTTCTTCTTTAATCTTCGTCTCATTACCAGTTTTCAATTTGGCAAGGGCCTCTTCCTTGGCATTCGCTAATACAGTCAAGGAATCTTTAACGGCATGATAGATAATGTTCTTAATTTGCAGTTTATCCTCGTGATTTGTATGGGAATCCGATAATTCACGGAATTCTTGCGTTAGATGGAAACAATGGGAAACATTTTCCGGAGATACAAAGTCCTCGGCGACTTTGATACAGTTGTGAAGATTACGGACCTGATGCGGTGCACCTGCTGGCACGAAAACGGCATCCCCAAGACATTGCACGATAGAGTATCTATAAGGAAATAAAAACAAAGGAACAAACAAAAGCGATTCATTAGAACTTTTATGTTGGAATATTTAATGGGAAAAATGTGAATGAATAAAAAAAAAAGCTAGCAGCTTACCCTTCGACACCATATTCGCGATATAATCGTTCACGCAGAGGCCCATCTAGATAATAGCTCTGATCATGTATCGGATCGTGATGAGGCTCTAAACGTGCACCACGTTCTAATGCAACGGCATTTAATAAGTCACGAATTTTATCTGCATCGCGAGCCGCATAAATGTGCCACAATGCTCCTGGTGCCTCGCCGCGTTCGCGAACACGACGACGCGTCAGAATATCACAGCCTGCTTCGTCTATAGCTCTTAATGCCTCTGTAATCAATGATGTAATTAATGATTTTACACGATAATTAAGCCTTTAGTCTTATTCTTTGATCAAAGCTTTTAAAAATTGGGTATTTCAACATTATTGAAACCATTAAATTATTTGATTAGAAGATGTTCCGCGACTCTTACCTTTGACATACTCATCGTTATCGGTATCTTTAGGTATGCCGACGTATACCATGACATTAACCGCATCAGAAATGTCCAAGTGAAGATTTGTGGTACCTTTGTTCGGATGAAGTGCCGAACCATATGCGTTATACATTTTAGGACCTAAATCTGGTCTTACAAAACAATCGGGCAAATGACTCGCTAAATTCAATCTACCATGTCGATGCGTATATTCCGACAATGGGAGAGCTTTCATTAAATCAACAAAACGTGTTGACAACAATTCGGCAAAATCATCGCCGGGCGGCCAGTCTTTCAACTTCAATAGCATAGGATTTCCCCTTTCGTCTTTCAGTCGTTTCGAAAAGTGTTCGAATCCTTCCCAGAATTTACGCATCGGTTGATTCGGTACCAAATTTCCAGTCATACAATTTATAAGATCATTTTTTTTGTCTCCGAAATCTCTCGCAAAGGAGTCCGGATGCCAAAGGTCCATGTCCAAGGATTTAGCTACATCCGAGACGATCACTGGCTGTCCACGTTTCCATTGATCTTGGAAAATTCTATAATTGTTTGGATTATTTGGATCGTTTAACCTGAGCAATTTACCATCGCACAGCCATGAATGTGGTACGTCTGGATAAATACTTTTGCTCTCCGTTAACGTCATGATTCTTATGGGTAATGGTTCTCGGCCTCTCTGAGTCCATTTGTATCTTCGTACAAAATGTTTCAATTCTCTTGGTTTCTCATCGTCGTCCAGTCCACCACTCTCCCTTTCTTTCGTTACGGTGTGCTCTATCACGCTAGTTATTACTTCATCAAGCGTATCCATTTTCGATTTCTTCCCAGATTTGGTGATATTGTTTTGAGTGTTAGTTCCAGAAGGAGGATTGGTATTACCAGGATTATTTGTTGGTGAATTTGATCTCGACCCATTACCATTAGATTTGTGGGATGGCCTAATTAATAACTCTCTCAAGGTTGAATAATTGCCCTCACGATCCTCGTCGGAATCCGAACTCGATCCACTTTCGTTCTTATCCTGATTTTGCAACGCCACGTCTGCCAACCAATTCAATGGAGAATTCTTATCCTCGCCATTCACTTTGTTCTCCGATGCTCCGTTAGATTCGTTTATTTTTTTCTCCTCTTTGGGTTCTTGCTTAATGTTTCCATTAAGAACAGAAACTGTCTCGCCCTTTATTAAATTTCTCAAACTCTCGTTTGGCTGACCGGGTGAAACGAACGAACAACCACAATGCTGAGGAATTCCCCATTCCGATCGACAGTCATGAAGACGTTGCCCAAGTCGCAAGAGACTATCACCGGCTATAATTTGTGTGAGCATGAGTCGTTCCGGTTCGTGAGCTTGTCTGTTTGTACATAATAACCATGAAAAGTCATCTCTGTCTTTGCCACTTTCACCCCAGATCTTAATCGTTCCATTTTTACGTCCCTAAAAGAGAAAATATTTTTATTTTAATTTTATATGATCCTACAAGAAATTTTATTGTAATATCATTTATTTTTACTTGTAGCGTTAAATTTTTCTGAAATGCAATCTTATTGGAGAAAAGAAATATATTTTACCTTGTAACAATCGATGCATACGACAAAACCACATTTTCTACAAGCCCAATGGTAATTGAAAAGTGTCGTTTCGCATACATCACACAATTCTCGTACGCCTGGCAGTACTCGTTTCCATGCTACTATTCCGTCTGTAATTCCCGAACTCACTATGAAGAGTAAAATAAACAACGAATACATAAAGCGTGTATACATGCGAACAAATTAAAATTAATAATTCTTTGTAATGCTTCGTCATATATATGATTGCTAAATAAAAAAAATATACGCAAGTATATAAAAAAGAATATTCGGGGGAAAAAAAGAAAAAAAGAAAAAAAAAAGTTTTTAATAAGATCTAAACATAATATATGTAAAACACAACAATATCATGCAAATGTGTTGTTTGCTGTGTGAAACTTTTCTTTTATATATAAATTAATTTATCTTATTATATAAATATATTTGTATTATTATATCTTGTTATATAATATATTTTTACATAACGTATTTGTACAGTAATATTAACCTTCTGCCATGTGTTCCTGAAGCGCATCCTTCTCTTGGTGTAAAAGATCACAAAATTGATCTCCAACTTGTCGAAGAAGTCTATGTGCTGTCTCTAAATCTAAATCTCCCTTGATCACTTTCTCTACTTTATCTTTTTCATCCTTTTCAAATTTTTCTTCTTTATCGTCCGAGTCCTGAATATTTTTTCCCGGCAACCATAGGCGTAGATCTTCCTGCAACAGCACAGTGGTATCCGTTATCAATCACACTCCTGCAGAAGGATGATGAATAAAATTTTCAGAAAGTCCACTTAAATATAAAAGTAAAATTAATGATATAAAAAATTTACCTCAGAAGTATCTTTATGCGGATCACTAAATCCTGCTATAGCCAATTGTCCATTTTTTGTGTATCGTAATCTGCGAAATGCGTAGAATCTACAGAAGACATTTTGAGGAAGATTTTTAAGGCCGTTAGTTAGAGCATGCCGGCATTCACGACACTTCGCTAATTTTGGAGCAGCGTAGAAACAAACGTCATCTTGCAACCAGCTTTCACCTGTCTTCTTTAACTGTGACACAGCTGGTCTTCGAAAGGGATCTCCCCTTCCACCACTTCCTCCAGGTCCATTGTTACCACCACTTGTGCTCTCATCTCTACGTTCTTTTTTTTGACGAGGTTGTTGATCTTCTCCTCCAGCATCGTTACCTTTAGTAGTCTTTGGTTTTCTGCCTCTTTTCCTGAGGTCTTTATTATTTCCTATGTAGAAATCAATGACGGTAATGATTTATTAATATGTATATCAGAAGAAAAATAAAGCATATTAAATAATATTGTACAATATCAGTGTTAAAAAGCTCTCGTTGTAATATATATTTGTATATCATGGTTATCAACTTTTAATTTTCATCATGTGTGTACGTAGAGAAAGAGAGAGAGAGAGAGAGAGAGAGAGAGAGAGAGAGAAAGAGAGAGAGAGACATCGGACTGATGTCAGGAAAAATATATTTGCAAACTACTGGTAGAGCGTATAAATATGCGATTGAATTACCAAAATTGAAAACGTAAATATTTTGCTTCTTATTTTTGACTTCCCATACAGCTTTAAAGAAAGTAATAAATGTATGATCATGAAACGCGTATCACTTACCCTGCAAGTGAATAGTTAGTTCACCTGATGGGAAGTCCATTTACAACAAGCTACGTCAACTAACCGTTTCCCGAGGAATTGTTGGAATTGGCCGTGGTATGTCGTGCTCTCGGAGGAGGATGAACTCCCAATTGTTCACTGGTGTCACTAGCAGATCCAGCTTCGCTTTCGTTGCTAGACTCACTTCCTGCTCCAGCCCCTACGCTTTGTTTTTCTTCTTTGTGTCTCCGCTGATCTTCTGCGGCAGTTTGTTGCCTCCGTGCAGCTCCCTTCTTTCGTTTTACCTACCACAGGGCACAGATTATTAAGTAGTCAGGAAGTTCATGCTTTCGTAGCTGCAATTATGTGAAGCCACTAAATACAATCAATATTTTATAAAAAATCATTCAAATGGCTAATAAATGATCTAATAAAAACATACAAAAGAAGATAAAGGAAGAGAGAGTTTACGATGCACACGCGAACATTTATCTACTACTCATTCATTAACGTGTATAAATTTTGAAAAATATCAATTCATTTTTACCCGAAAATATATATGAAACATAATTTCAGATAATAAATTTCAATAGTAATCATGTTTTGTTATTATATTCAAGTAAGAAATACGGAAAAAGTATAGCGTAAAATCGAACACGTTCCGCGAAAGAGGTTAAGTATAGTGCCTATAGACGTTAGTGTTATAATTTAATGTATTTTAATAGATTACCATATTTATTTATAAAGAAAATTATACATAGTGCGTTATCAACAATAATTAACAGCACTGTGAACTATTTTAATATCACTTTCTTTATCAATTACACTCTAATCAACAAAGGCCACTTTTACTGCTCGAAGATCACGTACGCCACTGAGCTTCACAAGAAAATGGCGTCTAGTATGGCGCGAAAATAGCGGTTAGTTTAAACGTAACAGCGAATCTTCCGACGATCTATTTTTCCGCTTTAACAAATATAAACTTTCGATTTCGCATTGCGACAATTATAAAGAAAAAGGTTTTAATGAAGGCTAATCTAATGAAGCTTGTAAATTCCATGTAGTAAAAATTTTTATCAACTAATTTTTTTTTTTTTCTTTAATATATAAAATCTAATCATGCACACCACTTGTATAAAATATTTTTTTTTAAATATATCTGATAAAATACGTCTACAAAACCAAGTTCCACGAAACTTATACAAATCCATGCTAATAATATATAATAAAACATAATAATTATAATAAAATGTACTTGAAAAGGCATACATTTTAGCAACAACCATTATTCGAAAAAAAAAAAAAAAAAAAAGAAAAAAAATGAAAAAAGAAAAAAGAAAAAAGCAACATAAAGATGATAGATACCTTGGGTGGTTTTCTTTTCGGCGGCGACTTTCGTTCAGGGTCGCTGCTGGATGAGTCCTCTTGAAGATTCTTCGTATCCGTGGCGTGACCATTAAGAGGTTCCTTATTCGTTGTCTTACGACTTCCTTTTGCAGTGACTTTGCTCTTGTTGATGCTGTTCACTGCCATACTACCGATATTGTAAATGGAATTAACGGCGCTCGGTAAACAAGTCGTCGTTGTCGTACTACTAGAGTTCGAGCTTGGCTCGCGTTCTTTGTTATTGAGTGGCTGCGATGGTACTTGAGAAATATTGAGAGGTAACGTAACACAGGAACCACTTCCAACCATGCCTGTGGTATCCTCCGTGCCATCTTCGCCCGAATGCCTTTGAAGCCAAGCCTTTTTCAATTTATGAACAGGATAGCTAGTACTGCTAGGTGGTCTGGGGGCCGGACTTTCCGATTTTTCGCTATCGACCGTGGTAGGATTAGTTTTGGCAGGTGTACCAGGAGCGCTCGGTGCCGGACTAGGTGCCATTGATGGCGCCGGACTTGGTATAGGTGCTGGACTCGGTGCCGCACTAACGTTAGTAGGATTAAAAGAGCTAACGCTGCCGGCACTGGCTGGCCGAACTGAGCCATCACCGCTCGCTGTTCTAGGAGCCGGACTCTCGGCCGCAACCGTACGTTCTTGAGAAGACTGGGTGGTGTCGCTCGGTTGAGACAACAACGCCGCGGTATTAACGACAGTCGTGATAGAAGTTGCGGCCGAAGCAATGAGAGGACTAGGTTCGCTCACCCTAGACAAAACGGGCGGGCCAACGCATTGGAGGGACAACGGTTGTGGTTCTTCCGTTCGTCGTTTCTTACAGACCTCCAAGGAAACCGGCTGTCCGCTAACATTATCGCAGGAAAGTGGCGTTGGAGCTTTTCTCTTAGGTGAACCAGATCTTTCCACTCCAAGATCTAGAGGTTGAGTTTGGAAGTTTGAAGCGGCAATCTGCGGTTGAGCGTGTTGCAACGTTTGACCGGGTTGTTGATGAGGGCTACCGTGATGGGCAGGATGAACTATTGGCCTCGAAAGGGGCGCCGAAGCGGCCGTAGGTGGTGATCCATGAAGAGGTGGAGGTGGTAGTTTAGCTGCTGGCATAGAGCCAGCGAAACCCCTGTTATCGTATACGGATCTGCTACTGTGAGCCGGTGGTGGTAAAGGAGGTGGCGGCGCTCCATGGTGATGAGGCACTTGCTGGTAAGGCGAGCTACCGGCCTTCGACGTTAAAGGTATCGGTGCCGCGACTGCGGGCTCCGAAGCCCTGCAAACTGGCGTACCGGTCATTATACCGGAATTTGGCTTGCCGTATATATGCGGTGGCGCCGGACTGCTAACTTTTGGCTTCGAGACGGCCGTAGGAGTGGCATAATGCGAAGTCGGCGAAGCCGTCGGTGGGTGAGGATGCGGATAAGGATAGGACGATTTCGATGTCGCGTAAGGTAGACCAGGCTCGGACCTGCTCAAATAACGCGGCTCTGGCGGGGATGGGTGGGGCGGTTGATGAGGATGTTGAGCATGAGGTGACTGCCGATTGTGCGAATGTGGTGGTGGTGGTGGTGGATGACCGTGAGAGCTTGGTAGTTGTGACGTCGTCGTAGAACCTCCGCCGCTACTCCCACTTCTGTGGTGGCTTTGCGGTATGCTCTTTGCCCCTTGCAAGCCGTCGAGATGATGAAGATGATGAGGACTTTGCGTTGGACTCCTATACTCGTAAGTAGCCTGCTTGTGCTGCGGTGTTACCGGCTGAACGTTCATGTACGGCATCATCTTCGGACTCGGCGAGTGTTGTTGCGGTGGCGGACCCTTCGGTAACTCTCTACCTTCGTTCTTCACGATAACGGAACTCTTGTGATCGGATAACAAAGAAGGTGCATTTTGCAATACCTCCCTACCATGATGATCCCTTTCGAGTCCTCCAGCCAAGCCACTTTTGCTCGGTAACGTTTTGTGCGCCGATTGTCCGAGCTGTTCGCTCTTCACTTTGATATCGTGCATATACGACGGCTGCGGCTGGTACGTGGAATAACTGAAGAGGCTCACGTTAGGTTCAGCCTTTGGAAGCGAACTGTGCGATGGACCCACCACTGACGGTGCTTTTTCGTGAAGACTACCGACCGGCAACGATGACTTCGATGTCCTAGAATGTGCCGGTGGTGGCGGGTATTCGACTTTTCCAGGTACGCTTGATGGTCGGGACACCTAAACAATATAGAAAAGCAATTACAAATGCCATCAAAAGATGGATTAGACATTTTCAAAGGATTAAATACAAGGGGGAGGAGGGGGGGGAAAGAAGAAGTAAAAGAAGGAGATTTAAAAAGTACCTGTTGAGCCGGTGGTGCTGTGGCAGCGTAATAAGCCGCCCTTTGTTGAGCAGCCACGTGATCTCTAGCCTCGGCTTGCCTGTGCAATCTCTCAGCGACCACCAGGTGCTCCCTTTCCCGTTCCCTCTCCCTCGCATCCCGTTCTCGTTCTCTCGCTTCGCGTTCCTCGCGTTCACGTTGTTGCTGTTGCGCCACCGTTACCGGATGCGCCGCAGTCGCACCGGGACCACCAGGATGATGGTGACCGGCATGAGCCGTCATTCCCGAATGCGGACCGCCGTGGCTTCTACTTCCGTGTGGTGGGAGAGGTATGAAAGTGTTCCACGCCATCGAGGCCGACTGCAAGTTTCTCTGCGGAATATAAGACACCTACTTCAATCAATACTGCCAATCACTTTCATCTTCATTGGCAAAAGCGATTTACGCGGTTAAACGAGACGATTCGTTCCTGCAAAACGTTACCGATTGATAATACTATTACTACTCTGCTGATCGATCGAAGATCAATTTATATGCCGATTTTATCCACATTCTTCTACGTTATGCCATAAGAAACTTGGAACTTTAGACACGTAGTATGTGTTCGTATAAGTGTACACGTGTCATCATGTCGTTAAGTTCTTTAATATGCTCCCATCTATACGTGCAAAACCCGTTTTCCTCTTGCGCAAGGCGCTCGCAACGAGTTGAAAAAAAAAAAAGAGATTAACGAGAACTCTGTGATCCTCTCTTTCTCTCTCTCTCGAACGTTCTCACACGTTTTATTCTTTTCGCATAGTTATCGCTCCTCATAAGAAAAGATTATGCAAACGAGCGACCGCACGAATTCAAGGACTTCGTGGTAACTTTGAATTTTACAGGTGAACGTACCTTTTTGGGCGCGCTATTTTAACGCATTTGGACGTTAGAAACGCCATGCTAATTTTTCACGTTTCAAGGTCGAAGAGAATTTCTAGAAGGAGAAGGGAGGAAACGACGGCTACTAATTGTTAAGAAAAGCTCAAAGAGAAAAACAGCATGCGAAGGATGCTCTCGACTTACGCTTATACAAAAGCGTAAATCTAATTATAACCTCAACGAAGGCTTACTATGCTAATCGAACCGCGAGTGTCAACCCACGTTTTGTTTACCTCGCTGCCGCGTCACCGTTCATCATCGTTGAATACTATGTAGAGATAAGTAAATATATGAGTGCTCGAACGCCATATACACACATCCATCCACACGCACACAGAGAAAAAGAGAAAGAGAGACGATGAAAAAAAAAAAAAAAAAAAAAAGAAAAAAAAATGCCGAGCTCTCCAGGCTGAAAAAGAGTCCGAACACAAAGAAGGCTATATAAGGTGCTCGTTAATGCTGCCGAACGAAGCGGAAGAAGATGTATCTAGTCGATTACATAGAAAAATAGTTCTCACTTAATTAACATTAATGTCGGTCGCATTTTTCTCCTATCCTCCTCTCCTCTTCTTCTTCTCAGCGAGGTCAAAAATAGAATTTTTTTTTCTTTTTCTTCTTCTTCTTCTTTTATATTCATCAGGGAGGATATATACCCTCGCGGGAACGGACGCTTCCGGTTGATAAATAATGACTCTCAAGTGAGTTTATTCTCTTTCTCTTTATCTCTCTTTTTATTTCTCTTTATACCACTTTTTATGAATTCGACTGCGAAATACTAGGAGTGCAGGAAAAGGGTAAAGCACAACTCGTTCGGCATCGATTACTCCGAGACCAGTCGATCTGAGTCATTCGAGTAAAGTCCTCGAGTGCCTCGTAATCATACGACTGACTATATACGGTATATGACGGTTAAATGCTCGTGACACGATCCAACGATTCAAATATCAAGGAATTTTTATAGACCTGTTAAGCGGTGGGGGAAAGACAGGGGAGGAGAAGAAGAAAAGAGGAGGAAACGATTCGCATATCTCGTTATAAAACTGATTTCGACGAAATCAGAAGTTACCATTGAAAAGTATTTTTATATTAGATTAGAAATACGACTGAACATTGTACGATATTAATTTTTCTTTTATTCTACTTCGCATTAATCGAACAACAAATATTTCACGATCAATGCAAGATTTATATTTTATGAAGAAAATTGTATTACTGACCGATTATAGGTATTAAATGAAAAGCAACTGAACAAAGTTCTTTCTTTCATCTTTGTTTTTTTAAACAACAATAGTTGAACTCTTTTTTTTTTTTTTTTTTTTTTAATTATGATATCTGCCAAAGCAGAAAGTTTCATTCTTTTTCTGAGGAGTATGATGAATCGGTAATATGGGGGAAAAAAAAAAATCTAACGACAAAAATCCTTCATTCAAACGACGAATAGAGATCAGAATTTCGATTAATCGGTCATCGAACGGCGGAGGCTTCGCGTTATTGGAAAGCGAGATAAAAGCTTTATTTGCCGATAGGGAAACAAGCTTTTATCGCGAGTAATAAGAGCGGTAGAGACCCGGCCGTTATCGTACTGATTTATAACCGGATCCAAGCCTTTCTGCCAGGCGTGCACGTACACTCGCAATGTGACATAGAGATCGCAAGCGATATTGTAGAAACGCGATACATCGTCTCAACTTCTCGCAATTCCCTTTGTTGCTATCGAGTAAACAACGATATATATATATATATATATATATATATATATATATATATATATATAATCGGCGATCATCGATCGCTTTCGAACCTCCTTCCAATGACATTTCTTTTCTTTAAATCGCAAATCGATTCTTATATAGAAAGAGAGAGAAAGAGAGATTGACTAATACAAAATTATCAAAATGGTATTTTAACTTGTGAAAATTATTCTTCATATTTCTAATTCTTTTTTATCTTTTGATTGTAACTGTTTTAAATTCTTATAGACGGAAATATTTGAATTTCTATTTTATCCTTTCAATCGTAATCGTTTTTAATATAATACTAAAGAAGAAGAAAAAAGAAAAAAGAAAGGAAAAAGAAGGTGAAAAAAACTGTAAAAGGAAATTCGATACAATAGGATGATTAACGGTACACTTTTAAAAGGGAAGTACGTAGACGTTCGGACGAGAAAATCTAGAACAACGTGCAGTGCGATATCGCTAGTGATAATCAGCGAAAAGCGCGGATAATAAGACGTAAGAGAGATATTAATTATGCATACCTTCGCAACTGCTTCGCATAAGTCGCTCGTGTTATAAGAAACGTATTTTGCGATCTTGTTCTTGCCATCCTTGAATACGTATTTATATATATATATATATATATATACCCGTTCGTTCACTTGTTTCTTAGATTACGAATAGGAAGAATTTCCTCTTCCATGAATTTTTTTCTTCGAGGAAAAAGACTAAGGAATTTAAATGATAAAAAAAGAAAAGATAATGATAAAGAAAAGAAAAGAATAAAAAGTGATAATTATAATGATAAAAAAGCAAAAAAAAAATAAAAGAAATGAAAGACAAAACAGGTGTCCTATATATTCGTCACTAAACTGCAAAAATGAAGCTAAGCTGCGATACTTTATCGCTATATACGAATATATCATATATATATATGTATGAATGTTGCGTGTATATATATATATATATATGTACAAGCACGTATATATATATATAATTTACGTATATCGAAGAGTTAAACGTATTATTGTCACGGCAAACAGATAGTGAATACGATAATATGCGATAAGAAACGAGGAACGAGTGGAATTGGGCCGCATTCGTCTCTCTCTCTCTCACGCACACACTCTTTACAGCTGAGTAGATAGTCTATTAACGATAAAAAGAACGACTGGTATTTACACGCGTCTAATCGCTTAAAAAGATGGATTTTTTTATTAAACTCGCGTCTGTTCGTTTTATTTCGACGAATAAAATGGCACGTACGATAAATAATTTTATAATAAACAAAACTTTTTGCAAAAGAAACATTCTCTCTCTCTCTCTCTCTCTCTTTGTTTCCATTCTTATTTTTTGCATTTAAAATGAAATAGTATTAAATTTCATAAGAAATATTGAAAATATGAGAAAGAAAGAGAGAGAAACAGATAGAAAAAGAATTAAGAGAAAAAGCAAGAGCAAAGTTGTGCTGACAAAGCTGCTCGCTATATTCCTCGAGCATCTTCTTCCTCCTTCTCTTTCTCTTCTTTTTACGTGTATGTAACGTCGTTGCCCAGTCAGCAAAAAGTAGAAAAGAGAGAAAGAAAGAAAAAGATCTGCTGACTTTTCCGTATTTTCGTTCCTCGTCACGCGCTTCGTCTCATCGAATTGAAAGATAATACCTGCTGAGACTTGAACTATTCGTAAGAAAAGCAAAAAAATAGAGAAAGAAAGAGAAGTAATACTTTCCATCGTTTATCATGGAATAATGGTATATGTAAATGTTACGATGTGTGTACAATTTTGTTGATTGTTGATAGTATTTGTTAGATAAATTACATTTTACAATCGGATAACAGCCTTTAAGTAGAACTTTAAACGAAATGAAACAAGTTCGATTTCTATCTAATGCCTTTCAAAATGGCGATTGTGTAAGAGATTTTCGTGTCGAAGAAAAAAAAAAAAAAAAAAAAAAAGAAAAAGAAAAAAAAAAGAAAGAAACAGGACGAAGGTATAACTTGTAAGACGAGGATATACTATCGGGATGAATTTGTCTTTCGTTAATTGACGTGAAACTTGACCTATCCTCGGTGACTCTTAAAGCCAACTTTAAGATTTACGATAGAAGTTAGACTTTTAAGTAGGGCCAGCTTTTTGGAAGAAGACCATTAATCTGGCCTTCTACGAAATACGGCAGTAACAGCTGTTTAACCAACTATCATATAATTTTTCTTTGTGTTTAACAAAAAGTATTTTAATACAAAATTTATAATACAATTTATTTTAGAACAGTCAAGTTATTAGCTGTAAACGGCTGATAATATAATACTAATATAAATTGTATAACGAATGGTCACATATATTATTAGCTATTTATAATACATACAGGTATATATTATTATATATAATATATAAAAAATTATGTACCTAAATATGATTTAAATTATTATTGATAAAATGATATATTAGCTATATCATTTATATTGGTATTATACTTATAATTAGGAAACATTAATTTTCAAGATATAAAAGAAAAAGGAAAAAACAAAAACTAATTTGCCCTTTCTCGTAAAAATGACTTTGAAAGATTTTCAATAGTCATTCGAAGAAAAAATATTTTATCGAAGGCCATCTCGAGAGAGATGGCAGGAGGTACGACGTTACATTCGTGGTTGGTTCCTCGAAGATCGTAGGGGCCAGCAGCACATCATTTTCCTTCATTTGCATCGCCACCGTTACTACGTCATGAATTATTTATACTTTCGTATAACACACATA